CAGAAGGACAAATATTGTACAATTCACTTAAATGAAGTGCCTGGAGTAGGCAAACTCATGGAGACAGAAAGTGAAATAGAGGAGGGAAGAGAGACAGAAGAAGAGGGAGACTGGTTAATCCACAGAGTTTTTGTTGGGGAAGACGAACTTTAGTGGATGGTTACACAACACTGTAAATGTATTTAATGCCACTGAATTGTATACCTACAAATGGTTAAAATGATGCATTATGTTTTGTATATTCAAACACACACACACCCTCCCCAAATGGCTTCAGCTAAAAAGGCCTCTATTGGCTCAAGATACTGGGAAGGCCAAGGCTGATTCAAGGACCCAGGTCCCTAACTCTGCCATGGCTCCACTCTCAGGCTCCAGTGAGGGTCCTGGGGGCTCCGTGTCCCATTCCTGAGGCGAGATGGTTGCCGCCTCTGCTGTCCAGTTAGTGAGAAGAGCAAGCCTCTTTCTGGTGATTGACTTAAAGGTCCCGAGATACCCTCTGACTGGTCACCCTCCCACCCCTATCGAGTCACTGAGCCAAGGGGGTGCCGCTGCTGATGTGCTGACACTGAGTCACATGCTCCACCCTGGGTGTTGGCGGTAGAGCCCCACTAGATCACAGGGGCTTGAGGGCTGGGCAGGAGGTGACCCCCAAACAAAACTTGGGGGCTGCTGCCTGCAGAAGGAATGGGTGCTGGGAAGGCACAAGAAACAACCGCTCATAGTGGTTCCATGGGTTTCGCTTAACCCAGTAATCCAGTTCTAACCATTCCTGGTCATTTGCTGTGGATAAGACAGACGCTCAACAGTCACGTGTGGTTCTTGAACACTTCTCTTCCTCTCCTACGGCAGATTCAACCTGGATCCCTTTGATCACTACTCAGACGAGCAGATCTGGGATGTCTTGGAGAGGACATTCCTGAGCAAGACAGTAAGTAGTCCAAGGCCTGATTCTTGGTCTTAGCCTCCCTCTTCAACAGGGGTGCCCCGCATCTGGGGCTCCTCTCACATGGTATTCCAGATGCTGCCGCTCTGAGGCATGGATTAAATAATCCATGATGAGGTGAGATGATGTGGGATTCCTACATAAAGGCTGATGGCTCTCAGACACCAACAGAGAGCCAGGCACGTTCTAGGCTGTGGGGCACAGCAAAGACGAGGCGGGAAGGTCTTTGTCCTCCTGGTGCTTGCATTCAATGGGAGAGAAAGGCAAGAAAGGAACGAACACTCGAGACACTTTCAGAGAGTGGTAAGCGCCATAAAGGCAGTAATGAGACCAGCCAACCCCTCAGTGGGTGAGCATCTCCTTTAGAGGGGGCGCCCTACAAGGCCTCTTTTAGGGTGGGACATTTGGGCTGAGACCAATATGGAGGAGGCAGCTGGGCACAGATCTTTGAGAGAACATTCCAGGCACAGGAACAAGCATATGTAAAGACCCTGAGATGGGAGTGAGACGGGCGCAGGTAAGGAAGAGAAAGATCAGTGGCTGAAGCATAGAGAGAGGGCAGCCGTGCTACAAAATGTGACAGGAGAGGTCGGAGGGGTCAGTTCAGGTCTCACCCACAGGCCTCCATGCCCACAAGCCTTCATGGCCTACGTCTCGTCTTCCTCGATGTTCCAGATCTCCAGGTTCCCCCAAGCGCTGCAAGCAGAAGTGGTGGAAAATGGTGAGAACTTCTCTGTGGGGGAGAGGCAGCTGCTCTGCATCGCTCGAGCCCTCCTCCGCAACTCCAAGGTGAGACCCCTGAGGGGCCACGTGGGGTCCCGGGTGGCGCCTGGCATGGGAAGCCACGCGGGCTGCTTCTCCCCCATCCCCCAGGACCGTGGGCACCGTGCTGCATGTCCTTTCCACAGCTATCCACAGGCGCGCTCACGTCACTGAGTGCCATTCCACACGTTCCTGTGGTGTGTGTGTGGGGTGGGGGGGGCTCTCAGCCTGGGCTCCCTCACACCCGGACATCCCGCACCTGAGCTGAAATGCTCCACCGCTAGAGCCGAATCATGACGCGCTTTCCCACAAAAAGCTGAAAGCTTAGCAACTTTTTAATTTAACAATTGCCCAGTGTAATTCTTTCTAAAACCTGGATGCAGGGCACTCATTTGTCTTTACTGGAATTGGGAATCAGATGACAGCTGTTCCAGGGCAAAATCACCTATTTTTTAAAAGGTTCATATAACAGTGCTTCTTACATTTTCCAGATATTTCACAGTAATTTCAGGTACTTGACTACCTGGGCTAGTTAGGAGCAAACTTTCTCTCTCCCAGGGGAGGCAGCACACACACACACACACACACACACACACACACGTAACACACCTCGACACTCACACATGTATACACACTTGGACACACATGCACATATGTAACACAACATTGTTAATTAGTGAAAAATGCAAAAAATGTCGCTGCAGACTGTCAGAGCTGTGGGAAGAGAGGAGGGGAGCTCAGCGGGGCCTGAAGCAGGGGAGATGGTTTCAGAGGAGGGAAGACCTTCCCTCTTCCTGAGAGAGAGGAACCACAGGATTTGCAATATGTACGGAGCCCTTTCTCAACCTCTCAGTTCCCTATTTCCCAGTTACTCAGGTGCTTGACGTCGAAGCCGCTTTCTCTATACTGTTTCCCAAATTTCAGTGACTGCTTTATGATTTGGGTCATATCTGCATACCACCTTTCCTGTGATTCATTCATGATGCCCTCTTTTTATCAACAGCCTCATTTAAACAGTAACGTTTGTGAAATCATACTTTCTGAGTAGTTATACTTTTCTAATGCGTATTGTTAGTGCAAGAAACACAGAAATGTTAAAGTAAAAAGAACGTGTAGCCATATCCTGGTGACACCATCTCATGTGCCACCCAGGGAGTGTGCACGCCCCCTCTGGGGACCACTGCTCTACATTAATTCAGGCAAATAGGAAGGCAGTTCATGAAAAAGAAGTTGCCGCTGGGACATCTTCATTTTCAAGAACTCAGTTCTCTGGTCACTACACATTAGTTGGCCCTTGGTTGAGACCTCACATTCTGTGCATAAGGTAACGGACAATTAAGGCTCCAGGTGGGTTTTGCACTCAGTCCAGATCTCTCATTTTCCAGCTCAGGCACTCAGTGAATTAGTGGTACACCCAGGACTAGACCCAGGTCTCGGGGTCCGAGGAGGCTGCCTTCACTCCTGTTTCATATCCACCAGATCGTCCTAATTGATGAAGCCACGGCCTCCATTGATGTGGAGATGGACACCCTGATCCAGCGCACAATCCGTGAAGCCTTCCAGGGCTGCACAGTGCTGGTCATTGCACACCGCATCACCACTGTCCTCAACTGTGACCGCATCCTGGTCATGAGCAGTGAGAAGGTGAGAGCTGCGTCCCTGGGCTGGTGGGAGGACATGCACTCAGGCCAGCACCACAGGAGGCCCTCGAATCTTCAAGACCGAGCTCAGCTGTGTCCCTGTCCCCTCCCCTCCTTTCTGCTCCTCCCAGGTTGTAGAGTTTGACAGGCCTGAGGTCCTGCAGAAGCGGCCCGGGTCCATGTTTGCAGCCCTGCTGGCAACAGCCAGTTCTTTGCTGGGCTAAGGAGAAATGGAGACTGCAGGGAGTCTGGTGGCCGAGCCCCCTGAAGTTCCCAAGAGTGCAGCTGTGAGGCCTACAACCTGTGACCTTCTGTGCAGAGTCGGCTCCTGAAAGCAGGGCTGAAATGGGCTGAGGAGTGCTGGCAACGGGATGGAAAAGGAGATTGAGGGAGCAAAACCTGGAATAGGCCACTCTGTGGCTCCCCAACCTGAGAACCCCAGCACGTATGAGACCATGTGGTCAAATCATCATGTGTCTCTTTTCAACTGATATGGGGATTAATTTCATAATAATGTAAAAGCTTATTGTAGTTTTCTGATCTGTTAAAAGTGTTCAAATGATGTTTGATTTAGTACAAAGTAAAAATAAGGAAAAGTCACACTCTCTGTTCTGTTTCTATGTTAGCTGGTACTCGTTCAGCCACAGGGAACAGAAATTCTCTCAACCTGACTTCTAGAAAAAGGGACTTTATTGGCTCATGTAACAGAAAGATCCAGAAAAAGTTCTGGGTTGGGTGCCAACATCCAAAGCATGTCTGCCTCGTGGACTCTGCCTCTCTTCTTTCACCTCTGCTTTTCTGTATTTGTCTTCATTCTCTGCCCTTCTCTCCTCATGGTGGCAGCACAGCTGCCAGCAGCTAAGACTCCCCTCCCACCAGCTCAGCCCGCCCAAGTCTTCTTTCCCGGGTGATTCCAGCAGAGCTCCAGGGCTAAATCTCATTGGGCTGACTTGGGTCGTGTGCTCATCCCTGAACCAACCACATGCTAGGCTGTTGGAATACAGTAACGGACAGGCCAGAGTCACTTGCCCACACCTGGGCCTGGGGATGGGGTCAGCTGTCCTGAATCACATGAACTGAGAGTGGAGGGGGTTGTTTCTCAAAATAATATTGGTTTCTCAAAATAATAATAACATGAAGGAGGAATGGATATGGATGCTGGCAGGCCCAAAACAGTAGCTGTCTACCATATGTTTGTTTACTCATTAGGAGCATAGATGCGTGAAATAAAGTGTTAACATGCCAACTGGAAATGAGATAATTTGTTGCCCTCCCAGAGCTGCTGTGGGGAACTGCATGTGTCACCTGTGAGAAGCTCTCCATAAGCTGAGTGCCCCTGCCATGATTCCTGAGCCTGGTGTGCTTCCCCAGGCCAAACTCAGCTGCCATATTTTCCTTAAGTTGGCCGGCAGATGGAAGGCTCTTCCAAAAAATGCGATGAGTCCTGCTGGTTTTGGATGCAAATGCACTGAGAATCCACCAGGGAAAGCGCTGACCCTGAGCCAGAGGCCGGGAATTAGAGCCCATGTCCGCCCCATCTTCAGGCCCCATCACACCTTCCCTCGGAGCTGTCTCTTCCTGGAGCAGTTGTCAACCTCGGCTGCATTTTGGAGTCACCCAAAGAGTTTATCACCCGAAGAGGTTTAGGAGTGATCTAGACCTCCTGATTCCAATGGTTGGGGTGGAGACTGAGTGTTGGGAGTTTTAAAGCTTTAGGTGAATCTAATGTACAGCAAAATTTCAGAAGCATTGGCTCCAAGCAGTGATAAGCAGAATTTTTTGAAAAATAGTATTGGTTTTTGTTTTTTTTTTGAAAGATTTTATTTATTTATTTTTTCCCCCCAAAGCCCCAGTAGATAGTTGTATGTCATAGCTGCACATCCTTCTAGGTGCTGTATGTGGGACATGGCCTCAGCATGGCCAGAGAAGCGGTGCGTCGGTGCGCGCCCAGGATCCGAACCCGGGCCGCCAGTAGCGGAGCGTGCGCAATTAACTGCTAAGCCATGGCGCCAGCCCAGTATTGTTTTTTTAACAGTATTGGTAATATTTTATTCCTTAAGCTGACTGACGAGAATATGACTTCGTTTTGTTTAAATAATTCTTTATGTATTTTTGAGCATCTGAACTATTATGTAATAACATTTAAAAAATTGGTACTTGATACTTCAAAAATACAGAAATAATTGCAATGAGAGAATGTAAAACTTGGTTCGACTTTCTTATATTTATTTAATGGTTTGCTAGTATTTGTGTTTTCAGTTACATCGAGTGGGAGGAGATCACACTATTTTAGTTCCCTGCTTAATCTGTCCTCAGACCCTAGCCCTCCTCCTCGTCAAGTGCAGGGGACGACTTCAACACCAGCTGTGTGATGTGGTCCACAGTGACAGCAGGTGGATGTACAGATCCAAGGAGGCAACAGTCCCACTGGCCCTGCCCAGCCCTGCCTGTCTCGAGCTCTGGACACTCCATTTTAAGAGAAACACTGCTAAATGAAGGCTCTAAAGGACAACCAGTGGGGGGCTTGAAAACCAGGTTGTGAGAAGGAGGAAGGAAAAGGGAAGGGCTCAGCTTCATTCTTCACTTTCCTCAAGGGCTTCTTCTATAAGTGGCTCCAGAGGGCAGCCCCAGGAACAGGAGGCGTAGATATTCAGGTTATTGGGAATGTCCTACTAGGGAGTGGCTATCTTTAGGGCAAGGAGCTCCCCATGACTGGGAGCCTTTTTGGACTCTGACAACTCTCTCCTGCATAAGATGAGATACCTCCCGGCTCAGAGAGAGCTCCCACAAGGCTGAGTGCTGGCAGGGATTCTGGGTGTGTGAGAAATTGGACTGGATAACTTCTATGGGGTGTATGACTCTGGGATGCAATTAAGAACACAATCATGTCTATGGCAGGGCTTCTCAAACTTGAATGAGCATCCGAATCACCTGGAGGGCTGAATCTCAGCTTGCCGGGCCTCACCCCATACTTTCTCATTCAGTAGGTCTGGGGCGGGGCTTAAGAATTTGCCTAACAAGTTCCCAGATGTTGCAGATGCTGCTGATCTGGGGACCACACTCTGAGAACGTGAAGGTTGGCCAAGATCACTGTGTCCTATGCGATCTAGACAGGAAGGGTTCAAACCCTCGTTCTAATGTGATCCCCAAAGTTTCTGGGCATTTCCAGGGCACTTTTATTTTCATGACCTCTTTTGGTTCAGACCTCCTGAGCATCTCATGAAGCCATACAGACTCTCCTTTTCTCCGTCACACTGACCTGGAAGGAGAAACCAGCACTTTCCTTATTTCCTGTATATGTTGATGACCTCAGCGAAGTTTTGGGTCAAAAGAGGGGTTTCTACTCCAGGAACTCAACAACTTGCAATTGAATACCAAGCACCCGCCTTCTTAAGGAGTCTCCATTTCCACCCCTTCAGGCTCCAGTCTCCTCTGTGCTGTGTGCCATTACCCTCTGGGTTTTCCCTGCCCCCACCTCCCAATTCCTGGGCATGTGTCATGCAGAGCAGTTCACTTCTTGCTTAAATGCCTTTCCCTGCCAAACAAGTCATCAGGATCTCACTCTACCCCAAGAGATGTATCAAGGCAGTTCCCTTAACAAAAACAGATTCCACCCTATGATACAGTCTGCTGCCAGCAGTTCAGATCGTAAAATTTCACCCCATTATCCTAAATGTCCCCTATTCTAACTCCCTCTCATTTAAATAAGTCTATGCAATCTAACTACGTCATGGTCAGAAGCAACTTCAGAGATGGTCAGTCCAGATGTTCTTATCCTGTGCTCCACGGACCCCTTAGGTAGATTCAGGGGAGGCCTGAATTTGAATAGTCCTTATGTCTTTATTTTTAGTAAGTGAAGTTGAACATGTCTGTTAACTATGAATGAGGCAACAAAGTATAACACTATTAGTGGTACCTGTGACTTTGTCACCGACACAAATCACAGATAATCTCAAATCTCATTTCGACTGTTCACATATCTCAAAATATGACTTATGTGCTTCACTGCTTTGAAATTACAGTAGTTATTAGACCTACTGCAAGATCAAGTCATTTAATGCCTCACTATAGAAGCATCTATATTACAATGTCCAATCGTGTGCATTTTTAGAATTCTTTTTATGCAGGTCACATTGGTGTGTAACATATAAACTTCAGGTGTACATCATTATATTTCAACTTCTGTACAGACTGCATCGTGTTCACCACCAAAAGTCTAGTTGCCATCTGTCACCATACATACGTCCCTTTACCACTTTTGTCCTCTCCCCACCCCCTTTCTGTCTGGTAACCATCAATCTGTTTTCCAAATCTATGTGTTTATCTTCCACATATGAGTGAAGTCATACGGTAATTGTCTGTCTCTCTCTGACTTATTTCACTTAGCATAATACCCTCAAGGTTCATCCATGTTATTGCAAATGGCAAGATTTCGTCTTTTTTATGGCTGAGTAATATTCCATTGTATATCTATATACCATATCTTCTTTATCCATTCATCTCTTTATAGGACCTTAGGTTGCTTCCAAGTCTTGGCTATTGTGAATAATGAACATAGGGGTGCATATTCCTTTCTGAATTAGTGTTTTTTTGTTCTTTAGATAAATACCCAGAAGTAGAATAGCTAGACATACAGTATTTCTATTTTTAATTTTTTGAAGAATCTCCATACTGTTTTCCATAGTGGCTGCACCAATTTAAATTCTCACCAGCAGTGTACAAGGCTTCCTTTTTCACCACAACCTCTCCAACACTTATTTCCTGTTTTTTTAATAATAGCCATTCTGATGAGTGTGAGGTGATATCTCATTGTACTTCTGATTTGCATTTCCCTAATAGTGATGTTGAACACCTTTTCATGTGCCTGTTGGCCACCTGTATATCTTCTTGGAAAAATGTCTGTTCATATCCTCTGCTCATTTTTGATTGGGTTGTTTATTTTTCCTTTGTTGAGTTTTATGAGTTCTTCATACATTTTGGATATTAACTCCTTTTTGGATATATGATTTGCAAATATTTTCTGCCAGTTGTTGAGTTGTCTTTTGTTTTGTTTCCTTCACCATGCAGAAGCTTTTTAGTTTGATGTAGTTCCATTTGTTTACGTTTTCTTTTCTTTCCCTTGCTTGAGGAGATATGATATTTAAAAAGATACTGCTAAGACCAATGTCAAAGAGCATACTGCCTGTGTTTTCATCTAGGAGTTTTATGGTTTCAAGTCTTACATTCAAGTTTTTAATTCATTTTGAGCTGAT